AGGTACAAACATGGTTTACGCCTGGCTGTGCAGCCAAACTGTATTAACTGTAATTTTTAATGATCAATAAATTAATCATCGGCCTTTAATATATAGAAGAATATCAAGGGGGTGGGACATTGAAGGCCAAAAACTTAAGGCCCACACCGCCAGTCATTGATGAATAATTATAACTCATAGCTTTTTTTGTGTGTGTAAAGTGCATTTTTGGAAACCTTGGTCGTGAGACTACTTTATATATTTCACAATTATATGTAATTTTAAAAAAATTGTATGCTTATTTGCCTGTGAAAATATTGTTTAAAATTGGTAACTAGGCTACCAAAGCAACTTGATCCTATAGTCAAAACTGATGCCAAATGCCTGCATGTCATACAGGAACAAGCGTATTCACTCATGTTGCTGGCTTGTTATTTTTAATTTGTTTCTGGTTCTCTCAGCTAATGCCAGGAAAACATCCGAAGGAGTGGTCAGCAACTCTGTCATCTACTTCACCGGACATGTCCCTGTCAATCCCAACGGGCCGGCCGCACTTAAGCTGAGGAAGATTCTAGACATGGTCAGTACATTTTTTGAGGGTGGTGTTGTTTGGTGTCCAGGGCACCGTCTTATTGGGTTGTGGTGGTCAGTGGGTTAGAAATTTCAAATGTGTTGGTTGGTTGTTTTGTTGGTTTACCTGATGTTGCTGAACTATTGCGTTGCTTATTATTCATGGTTTAAAATAAATAGTGCGTGTAACAGGATGATAGTTAAAGTTTTAGAATGAAACCAGATTCCAACAATCCTTCAATCTCATGTTTCAGGCCCCGGTGACCATCACTGACCAGACTCCCATGGAGACAGTTGTGGAGATGTTTAGGAAACTGGGACTCAGGCAGACTTTGGTCACGCACAATGGGTAAACATGGGGGGGGAGAACAGTGGGATAAAAAGATCAGCTCAAATGATGACAAAAGGATGGTGTGTGTGATGTCAGGGGTGGCATGGGTAATGTCAGGGGTGGCTTGAGTGATGTCAGGGGTGGCATGTGTGAAATCAGGGGTGGCATGAGTGATGTCAGGGATGGCATGGGTGATGTCTGGGGTGGCATGGGTGATGTCAGGGGTGGCATGTGTGAAATCAGGGGTGGCATGAGTGATGTCAGGGATGGCATGGGTGATGTCTGGGGTGGCATGGGTGATGTCTGGGGGTGGCATGGGTGATGACAGGTGGGATGGGTGATGACGGGTGGGATCAGTGATGTCAGGGATGGCATGGGTGATGTCAGGGGTGGCATGGGTGATGTCAGGGGTGGCATGTGTGAAATCAGGGGTGGCATGAGTGATGTCAGGGGTGGCATGGGTGATGTCAGGTATGGTGTGGGGGATGTCAGGGATGGTGTGGGGGATGTCAGGGATGGTGTGGGGGATGTCAGGTGTGGCATGGGGGATATCAGGGATGGCATGTGGGATGTCAGGGATGGCGTGGGGGATGTCAGGGATGGTGTGGGATGTCAGGTGTGGTATGGGGATATCAGGGATGGTGTGGGGGATGTCAGGGATGGCATTGGGGATGTCAGGTGTGGTATGGGGGATGTCAGGTGTGGTATGGGGGGTGTCAGGTGTGGTGTGGAGGGGTGGCATGGGGATGTCAGGGATGGCGTGTGGGATTTCAGGGATGGCGTGGGGGATGTCAGGGATGGTGTGGGATGTCAGGTGTGGTATGGGGATATCAGGGATGGTGTGGGGGATGTCAGGGATGGCATTGGGGATGTCAGGTGTGGTATGGGGGATGTCAGGTGTGGTATGGGGGGTGTCAGGTGTGGTGTGGAGGGGTGGCATGGGGATGTCAGGGATGGCGTGTGGGATTTCAGGGATGGCGTGGGGGATGTCAGGGATGGTGTGGGATGTCAGGTGTGGTATGGGGATATCAGGGATGGTGTGGGGGATGTCGTGGGGGATGTCAGGTGTGGCATCGGGGATGTCAGGTGTGGTATGGGGGATGTCAGGTGTGGTGTGGGGGGTGTCAGGTGTGGTGTGGAGTGTGGCATGGGGATGTCAGGAATGGTGTGGGGGATGTCAGGGATGGTGTGGGGATGTCAGGTGTTGTGTGGGGATGTCAGGGATGGTGTGGGAAATGTCAGGTGTGGTGTGGGGTATATCAGGGATGGTGTGGGGGATGTCAGGGATGGTGTGGGTAATTTCAGGGATGGTGTGGGGGATGTCAGGGATAGTATGGGTGATGTCGGGGATGGTATGGGTGATGTCAGGGATGGTATGTTTTGATGACATTGTTTTCAGAGGGGGTTAGACTTGGTGAAGATTGCTCTCATGTTGTCCCCCTTCCTGTTACAGTCGCCTGCTGGGTATCATCACCAAGAAGGACGTCCTAAGGCACATAGCCCAACTAAGGAACCAAGACCCAGAGTCCATTCTTTTCAACTAGATTCAGATCTGCTTCTACTCAATCTTATTGGGGACTGTGTTCGAGGACTCGCAGATGTCCACTTTCGGCGTGGACAAGGGCTACAGTCTTGTGGAGCAAGGGGATGTTTGTGTGTACAGCACGCATGAGAGGAAGATGTTTGCACATATTCTAACCTCTGGTACAATGCGGATCATGGTACAGTTTTGTGGATCATATGGATGTGTTTGTATCCAGGGAATGAAAGGGACGTGTGTGTGTGTGTGTGTATTGAACTTGCCAAGGACTACATAATTGATATTTGGATGGGAAGGGCAGATTTTTTACCCATTTTCAATTCATCTTGTCTATAGTTTGATTCAAGCTTCCCACAGAAAAAAATTAAAAATTTGCTGTTAAAATGAGTACAATGTAGCTGGCACTGTTTAGCGCTATTTAGTTCCATTCATATTTCTCTGCAAAGACTTCTAGTGAATTTAGATATCTATTTGCTTGAATAAACTCTTTTGAGTCACCAAGCACCCTGTCGAGAGATGATTTGGTGAGACACCAGTCATTCTGCAGGGAGATGAACAAGTGAGTCACCATTCCTTCTGCAGGGAGCTGTCTTGACTGCTTGAGTGACCGATCATTTACAATGTTGCTGATGCTCCTGATTTTTGTGTGTGTACCATTGCCATGGACCAGCGGTAGAAGCCGGTGGCCGCGCTCGCTGCTAGTCCATCTTCTTTGGATAACTTGGGTCATAAAATGACCTATACTTGTCTTGCCATCTCACCACCTAGCAGTGCATGACTTGCTGCTAAAGTCACAGTTGATATACAGTGTGCCCCATCTCATTGTTCCTAGTTATGGTTTTACCGGCTCAGAGTCTGAGGGTCATCCTCTTCCTCGGCCGTTTGGTTTAACTAGATCTGACGTTTGTGCCATAGGCCAGGGAGGTCTTTTTTAGAAATGGCCTGTTTAGTTAAAACCGCAAGTTGTCTATTTATAGTCATATGTGTTGTTTTTTTAAAACTTTGGAATTTATTAAGGAAGCAATGTAGGTCATACAAGACCATGTCAATTTGGCTAGTGTCTGTGAGGCAGACAACTCCAGTCATTATGTGTAGAGGACTTGCTTGTTTCATGACTATATTGTTAGCTTTCAAATACCCTAAGAAAGTGCTTGGCCCTGATTCTTCCCTGATGCACTTTGCAACTGTTGCCCAGTTCTATGATGTCATCACACCACTGATGCCCAGTTCTATGATGTCATCACACCACTGATGCCCAGTTCTATGATGTCATCACACCACTGATGCCCAGTTCTATGATGTCATCACACCACTGATGCCCAGTTCTATGATGTCATCACACCACTGATGCCCAGTTCTATGATGTCATCACACAATGAAACAACTAAATCACACAGCAATTATTTATTCTTTACAAATATTTATTCACTTTGTCATGGTCTGGCTTGTGTGGTAATACATGTGGTGTACATTTGACAAACAATTCATGTCTGGCCCAAGCCTGTGTTGGTTGGGTCATTTAAATAGGTAGGCATATAGGCTTAAGCATTCCATTACATGTCAGGTTATGTCATGTCAGGTTATGTCATGTCAGATTATGTCATGTCTTGTTAGACCAATGTACTTATGCATGGATGCATTGCATATAATTAATGGATATTCTGTATGGACTTATGAATACCGGGTATGGAAGATTGTATTTTTCACTGTGCTGGGCTGTACATTGACCGTTCAACTGCTTAATGAATAGCTTGCTGACCTAGTTTCCACATACTGTGTCTGTGGAACATCTGCTAATCAAAGTGTGACAGAATCGTGTAGCTGTCCGCTGCCATTGTAAGAATAGATATATGACAGAACTGTGTAGCCGACCGCTGCTATTGTATGAATAGATATATGACAGAACTGTTTAGCCGACCGCTGCTATTGTATGAATAGATATATGACAGAACTATGGTGCCGACCGCTGCTATTGTATGAATAGATATATGACAGAACTGTGGTGCTGACCGCTGCCATTGTGTGATCAAAAGTATGTGAATTGTAGTTATTGTCACTTGATGGAACCAGATTTTATGTTTTAAAAACCATAATTTCTTGATGTTAATTCCTTGTAATTATGATTTGTAACTGTGTGAGCTCAGCTGTTGATAAACACAATAGGATAATCACTATTTTTTTTTTATGTGTCATTTGGCAGGAATTAGTGATGCATGATGGAGTGTGCAATTAGTGATACATGATTGGGTGTGCAAGTATTGGTAGTATATGATGGGGTCTACAGGAATTAGTGAAATATGATGGGGCATTCAATTAGTGATACGTGATGAGGCTGTGTAGGAATTAGTGATATTTGATGGAGTGTACAGGAGCTATTGATATATGATGGGGGTGTACAGGAGCTATTGATATATGATGGGGGTGTACAGGAGCTATTGTTATATGAGGGGGGTGTACAGGAATTAAAGCTATATGATTAGATGTACAGGAAATAGTGATATATGATGTTTTGTGCAGGAATTAGGGATACATGATGGGTATGTGCGGGAATTAGTGATACATGATGCGGGGGGGGGGGGGGGATGCAGGAATTAGTGATAAATGATGAGGAATCAGTGATATGTTATGGGGTTGTATGTGAAAGAGAAAACATATCTCCCTGTGCAATAATACTCATCTTTTGACCTTGACTTTTCAAGGTGATGTAAGACAAAGATAATATCATGAGATAATTCCAGTGCTGTCATATGTGTGGCCAGATTTCACTGCAAATGTTTGCTTGTTAAAAACAACCTGCCGGCTGGTTGTGCTGTGTCTGAGGTGAAAATCTACTATCAAAATTGGTCTGAAATTGTCTACCAATAATTTGGTGGGTTTTTTTTTTTTATAGCATAATTATTTCCCTGGTGTATATTTCAATTTCCACCCATTAAAGTAGGTCAGTGTCTAACAGTGGTTCTCAACCTTCCTAATGCCGCGACCCTGTAATACAGTTCCTCATGTTGTGGCGACCCCCAACCATAAAATTATATTTGCGTCGCTACTTCATAATTATGTGTTTTCCGATGGTCTTAGGCAACCCCTGTGTGTCGACCCCCCCAAAGGGGTCGTGACCCACAGGTTGAGAACCGCTGGTCTAAAAGTTTCACTCATTTTTATCAGGTGTACCATTGCTTGCTCAATTTACTGTACCAAGATTTATTTGTATATTTCTTTATTAGTGTTTACCTAGCAGAGTCATACTACAGCAGAGAAATGTTTGGAATATAAGTCTTGATTAAACTGGCAAGTACAGCTGTGGCAAAAACCAAAAAAAAAAAAAATAGCTTTGTTTTCTGTTGGTGTTAATTGATGAAAAGTGATACAAAGGTTTTTGATTCATTTTTTATTGTAAATTTATCTTACAAGTTCTCTTCCTTCCCCCCCCCCCCAATTTTTTTTACTTTTTTTGGGCACAGTGGAGGTACTCTAATTGCTAGCTAGCTCGTATAGGAACTACCAGAATAGTTAACTTTCAAGGATGAACTTGCCTAACGGTAACTGGCAGAATTGTTCATTGATTATTTTTTATGTTACAATATTTTATGTCGCAGCGTTGGCTAATAGTTAGCTTGGCCTTATTTTGTGTTGACGGCATCGAGCGCAGATTTTGAGTAGTCAGTTGTAGGCTGTGACGGGTCATGGTTTTTTTGTTGTTGTTGTTAAACATTGTTTGGATCCTTGGGCCTCCAATAGAACCTGATGCCGACACCTTGTTGAGTTGGGATCCTTGGGCCTCCAATAGAACATGATGCCGACACCTTGTTGAGTTGGGATCCTTGGGCCTCCAATAGAACATGATGCCGACACCTTGTTGAGTTGGGATCCTTGGGCCTCCAATAGAACATGATGTCGACACCTTGTTGAGTTGGGATCCTTGGGCCTCCAACAGAACCTGATGCCAACACCTTGTTGAGTTGGGATCATCTTTGTTCCACTGCAATGAAACCTATTCCAGCTTAAAGTTATTACCTTGATGGGCAAGGGGCCAAAGGGGCCAGGTAATAAAGAAATGCTGATTGAATTATAAGCCTGTAATCTGCTGTATCCAAATTTCATTTCACGTGAGTCAGAATATATTACTGCCATCTGTGTGACACCTAACCAACAATAATCTAAAGAAAAAAAAATAATTAAATCCTATGGTAATCTTGACCGATTATGTGTGTGTGTGTAGATGTTGAAGAGTTCTCTGCAGTAACCTCCCCTGATATGGGATGTACATTGTAGATGTTGAAGAGTTCTCTGCAGTAACCTCCCCTGATATGGGATGTACATTGTAGATGTTGAAGAGTTCTCTGCAGTAACCTCCCCTGATATGGGATGTACATTGTAGATGTTGAAGAGTTCTCTGCAGTAACCTCCCCTGATATGGGATGTACATTGTAGATGTTGAAGAGTTCTCTGCAGTAACCTCCCCTGATATGGGATGTACATTGTAGATGTTGAAGAGTTCTCTGCAGTAACTTCCCCTGATATGGGATGTACATTGTAGATGTTGAAGAGTTCTCTGCAGTAACCTCCCCTGATATGGGATGTACATTGTAGATGTTGAAGAGTTCTCTTCAGTAACCTCCCCTGATATGGGATGTACATTGTAGATGTTGAAGAGTTCTCTGCAGTAACCTCCCCTGATATGGGATGTACATTGTAGATGTTGAAGAGTTCTCTGCAGTAACCTCCCCTGATATGGTCCCTGATATGGGATGTACATTGTAGATGTTGAAGAGTTCTCTGCAGTAACCTCCCCTGATATGGGATGTACATTGTAGATGTTGAAGAGTTCTCTGCAGTAACCTCCCCTGATATGGGATGTACATTTTTTGAAAAACTTACATGACCAGCATTGAAATTAGTTGTGGCCGGCCAGGTTTTTGTATAAATATATTGTAATTTAAAAAAAAAAACACACACTCCAACTTTAACTAGACCAGTGGTCGGCAAACTCAGGAGTCAAAAGAGCCAAAAATCATCAGCGGGGGCGATTTACTAAAATGTTTTAAGAGCCAAATTTCTTTTCAAGAACCATGTTTTTCGGAGTCAAAACCAATTTGTGGCCGAGCCGCACTCAGGTCACAATTTGCCGACCACTGAACTTGACAACCATAGGAATGGAGTCCATGTGCATAACTGTCGAGTGTATTTTTTGCTGATGCTTGCATCAAATTTGTTGGCATGTCGTTCATTGTGTTTGTATGTGTATGAGGTGCCCCCATTAAGTTGAAAAATTACTGATGGCTTGACCTGCCAGTCAGTAAATTAGCGTAATAACTGTCATAATATTCATGTTGTTTGTTAGACTCATAAGTAAACAAATATTCATTCAAAAAATGTTTTGGTCACGTATTTAAGTATGATGTACTCCACTCACAAGCATATTCTCAACATCATCCCTTTACAATGCTCCACTTACCATCCTTCCCATTACCATCCTTGCATTACCATCCATCCTATTACCATCCTTGCATTACCATACATCCCATTACCATCCATCCCATTACCATATTTCCTATATCCATCCTTCCCATTACCATCCATCCCATTACCATCATTCCCTTTACCATCCATCCCATTACCATCCATCTCATTACCATCATTCCCATTACCACCCTTCCCATTACTATCCATCCCATTACCATCCATCCCATTACCATCATTCCCTTTACCATCCATCCCATTACCATCCATCTCATTACCATCATTCCCATTACCACCCTTCCCATTACTATCCATCCCATTACCATACTTCCCATTACCACTCTCACCTCAAAGTATCTCCCTTCCCTACCTTTCCATCATACTATACCTTCCCAATGTATACCGGTACCTTCAATAAGTGCACAATAATATCAAATTCTGAGAAACTATGATTCACATAAATGGTATTTATTGGCGTATACTCTCTCAGTGCTCTCTCAGTGCTCTCTCAGTGCTCTTGTAGTCAAAGAAAAAATCAGAAGAGCCTCAGAAAAAAATGTAAAAATTTAATATTATAATTATTTAATTTTTTTTTTAAAATCTGAAATGCTTAAAAACATATATTTATAAAGTGTCAATACTATAAGTGCGTAAGTTACAGCATCTATCAAATACAGACTGTACAAAAATGTCTGTGTAATATGTCTTCAGTGAGGTGATTTATAAAATACAGACATTACACACCATAATCTAATGACTGCCGTGAAGGGTTTACACCAACCAACCTATAGAACAATACAACATTACAAAGTTAACAACGGAACTCACAGCTCTCAGAAAAATGTCTCTACTTCTCTCTACCCAATGGGCCTTGTATCGCACCTTACACTTGCTGAGATTGAAAGAAATGTCACACTGATTCTGATTCGATCAGATTGAATTGATGATGCGACAACATTAAGAGGGAACTCTTTAAAAAAAAAAAAAAACTAATTTTAAAAATTAGTTGTAGCAATACAGGGATCTCGCGCTTATCGCGAGTTTAGGCTTCAAAAACTCCTGTCCGATCAAATTTCCGTTCGACTAAACTTCCGTCGATCAATTTCAGTCGACGAAATTTCTTTCGAACAAATTTCCGGTAACCGAGATAGACAGACGAAGGATCATTTTAATGTAAAGATTAAATTATATTGCATCAGTAACAATTCCAAATAATTTTTTTTTACATGCAAATAATTGCCTTTAAATTTAATTTTTAACATTTTTTTTTTAAATTTGATATCTTATTTAATCCATTATTAAATTATTTTATTTTAAATTTCAACTAATAGACAAGTTTACTCTGAAGTACGTTCTGAAAACAACTCTTAAAGACAAGTAAAGTAGCATGGTGCTGTGGTTATTCCCCTGGATCTGATCGTTCAAACTGCAACCAACTATTGGAGAAATGTAAAGTGGCATGGTGGTACTGTAGTCATCACTCTTGAGTTAGAACGGCAAACAACCACCAAAGACAAGTAAAGTAACACGGTGCTGCAGGTATTTCTCCGTACGCCGGCGCTAGACCCTTGCGTCGCCATGCGGAAGTATCTCCTGCACCAGAACTGGTTGGCCTCCGGGATGACGACGAAACCGTAGCTCAGCGGCGGGAGGTCCACGTCTGTTCTCGTCATAGTCGCCACGAAGTTGGGGATACTTGATCCGTTTTCCATGACTAGAATATGGCCGTTCATCTTAACATGGCTGTGATCGCAGGGAAAGTTTGTGGGGAAAAAACGTGCTGATGTATGCAGCTAGAGCAGGTATATCCGCCTATTAAGTCAGGTTAACTGGGTCAGGTGAGGTGCATATACCTGTTCAGTCGGTTTAACTAGGTCAGGTACAGACAGTTATTAAGTTAGTTTAACTAGGTCAGGTACATACACCTGGTATTTCAGCTGAACTAGGTCAGGTATATCCATCTATTAGGTCAGGTATATCCACCCGTTGAACTAGGTCAGTTACATATCAAATGTCAAATGTGACCCTCTGGAGATTTGTCAAAAATACACCTGTCTACAGATCTTAAGATATTATTTTATCCTGTCTACAGATCTTAAGATATTATTTTATCCTGTCTACAGATCTTACGATATTTTTGTATGCTGTCTACAGATCTTAAGATATTCTTAAATCCTGTATTCAGGTCTTTTGATATTTTTGTATGCTGTCTACAGATCTTAAGATATTCTTAAATCCTGTATTCAGGTCTTTTGATATTTTTGTATGCTGTCTACAGATCTTAAGATATTATTGTATCCTGTCTACAGATCTTAAGATATTCTGTCAACCTGTCTTACGGATCTATTGAAATAATGACGCCCTGTCATGTTTAAATTTTGTTAGGAAGCAAAAAAGGTTTCTAAAACACCAGCCACTCGAATGTGCCGCAACCCCCAACCCCCCTTTCTTCTGTCAGTGATGTCTTTGGCTTGATCATGTCCATGCTTGCAGTAAGAAAAAATTAATGTTAACCGTTAAATATTCTTAAGTATCAGGTATGATTTGATTAACATTTTAACACGAAGGTCGACTGATGTAAGACTAATGTAAGGCCAATGTAAGGATGATGTAAGACTGATGTAAGGCTGATGTAAGACTAATGTAATGTAAGACAAACGTAAGCCTGATGTCAGACTAAAGTAAGACTGATGTAAGACATCGCTACATCTGGGTTTTTCCATGACATGAACCGTAAATGAAAGAGCCGACTTAATTCATCTGACCTGGAGTTGAGACTGCCATCAGCAGACGTGAACGGGTACACAAGCTTAGTCATGTTCTTGTACTGTGGCAGACTGATGACCGCAGATCTATTGATATAGTTCAAGTAGTACACAACCATCGCGCCGGCTTGATACCTTAATAGTGATAGAAAAAGTAAGAATGTTATGAAAGAAAGATCTACTACGTCAGCGGTTCTCAACCTGTGGGTCGCGACCCCTTTGGGGGTCGCGGGACCCTTTTCCAGGGGTCGACTAAGACCATCTGAAAACATATATCCTTACAGCTATGAAGTAGCAACGAAAATAATTGTGTGGCTGGGGGGTCGCCATGACACGAGAAACTGTATGAAGGGGTCGCGGCACTAGAAAGGTTGAGAACCACTGTACTAAGTCATTCGGAAAAAACAATTTAAAAAAAAAAAAAAAAGTTATTTTAAATTTTAATCTCTTTCAGATGTGTCTCTAGAATCACTCAAATACTTCAAATCACTAAAATGGGGTCGCCATGAAACGAGAAAATGTAAGAAAGGGTCGCGGCACTAAAAAGGGTGAAAAACACTGTAATAAATTATTCGAAAAAAAAAATTTAAAAAAAAAAAAAAAAGTTATTTTAGATTTTGATCTCTTTCAGATGTGTCTCTAGAATCACTCAAATACTTCAAATCACTAAAAGCATTAACGATGGTCACGTGATATTATGACAAACATGTTGTTGTTTTTTTTTAAAATAGAACTCAAACCACGTGATCAATAATTATCTGCTCAAACTATACGACCTCGTTCTGGAATCAGTGCCCTGCATAGCTTAGATACAGCCAGAACCGTGCGATGATTGATGATTTGGTTATCCCCCCCCCCCCATATGCTAGCGTCAAGGGGGTAAGGCTGCTCATTTTGCCCCCCCCCCGGCCCTTTCACACGGCCCTGGATACAACACGTAGGATATCGACCCTGGATGCAAAAGGCAAGATGTACGTCCTGGATACAACACTCAGGATATCGGCCCTGGATGCAAAAGGCAAGATGTACGTCCTGGATACAACACGCAGGATATCGGCCCCGGATGCAAAAGGCAAAATGTAGGTCCTGGATACACACGCAGGA